ACAATTCTTGAAAGACGTTAGATGTTTTTTTTGTCCATTTATCTGAATCGGGAGCCGCCATTGTTGCTTTCGTAATTGAATATCGGCGACCGTCAGTACCACGATCTTTTGCGTGTGAAAACCATTTTGATAATTCTATTTCAATATCTTTATTATTGTATTGATTTGTATTTGGGTTTAGTTTCGCAGCACCAATATTTTCAATAAAACTGTATTAAAGTAAACTTACTTTAGTAAAATTAGTAAAGTAAAAAAATTCTCACTCAAAAAAACTATTTTTATATTAAATTATATATAAATAAATCCAGGTGTAAACGCAAATAATGAAACTCGCTGTTGCAACTGATTGTCAACTCTGGATTTTCTGTTGATGGCAGTTTTCATGGTTGCTGTGGCTTTTGAACAAGAGCAGAATTGACCAACATCTTTTTTCTTTTAAAATACAAAAATAATCTTGACCACAGGTACAATAAATATAACATAAATTTCTATAAAAAATAAATAAAGCAATTTTGTAAAAAAAAAATACTTTGGTTCTACACTATACAATTGATCATTTTCATTTTTATTTAAATATGAAATGAAAAAGTCAAAGCAAACTGCTACTGGATGCCCTTCTTAGCATTACCCTGCTCTCCAGATCAGGAGAATATGTGTTTTGATACTACTAAATTTATTACCACCCACAACCCTCGGAACTAGTAAAAATGAGGTCGGCAATAGTTTGCTGACCTCAATCTTTTAAAGGCTGGCACCAGGTTGACAAAAAAAAATTTGATACAAAAGTCTTACCATAAAATATTGAAACGAGGTCGGCAATTTTTTGCCGACCTTAAACACTTTAAGGTCGGCAGTTAGGTCGGCATTGCCGAATGCCGATCCTAATTCCGAGGGTTGCATAGATGATTTATGAGTTTATTTCCTTTTACCCACAACTAAAGAATATATTTTTTAATAAGAGTTTTCTTTCTTCTATTTTCTCTCTTTTTTACAAATACTATAATGGGCGCTGTTTTAAAGAGCTAGTGTCTCTTGTGCCAACTACTAAAGTTCATTCCTGTGTTACGCGTCATTTATTTAAGTTTTAACCTTTAACTGTAACTGTTCCTAAGTGCTCAAAAAAAATCTTATTCCTCTATTTTTTCCCTTCAAACATCAGTTCTTTATAATTCGATCTCTTCCTCTTTTTTTCCTGTTTCATATAATTGGCAATATTTTAAGTCGCCTATTAATCATTATCTAGCTCTATAACCATAGTCTTTTCACTTTCAGTAACTTCCAGCTCGTGGTTGTTGCAGCCTTGTTGGTAGTAAATATGTTTGAAAATAAATAATAATAATAATAATAATAATAATAATAATAATAATAATAATAATAATAAAAGACAAAATTTTAAAATAATAAATTAAATTTTTTTAAGTAAAATTATTGTGCAAAATGTAATATAAAATGTTTTGATTTAATCTACACATATAAACCAAAAAAAATTATCAAATAACCATAAAATACCAGATAAACAAAAACGTTATTAAATGCCTACCGTCTTTTTTTGTTTTTCTTGAAAGTTCCTGAACTTTCTTCTATCTATTGAAATGCATTTTCTTAAATTTCATTTTCAATTGGATTTGTCTTTTGCCATTTTCGCTTTTTGACAACCATTGTTCAAACTGTCAAATTTGTATCAAAATAAAAACGGGTAAAAAAAATGTCACATAAAAATGTAAATAAATTAAGAAAACAAACAATATGCAAAATAAATTTACCAGCCAATCCCAGCACCCTTGCCTTGTAGCTTGGCCAATTTTTCACTGCATCATGGCTGCTATTTTTTGCTTTAGAAATAGTGTTGGGATTTTTAAATGGTGTTCAATGGCATTCTACTGATGTGTGATCTGTAATCATTAACTGGATATTATTAGCATCCACTCCCTCAAGTCATTTCAACGGAACATAATCTGTTTCGCAAGTGTTTTCAAAAGCAACAATTGCAAACATATTTTAACTAAAAAAATCTTTTATAAGTTATGAAATAAGAAATGTTTTAAATCTTTTTATTATAGTAATTATGTATTTTTTATTTAATACTAAATTTCATAATAATAGTTTTTAAAAGTAAACTTTTTATTAATAAATAATTTGAAATAAGATTTTTTGAATTACTTAAAAAAAAAGAAGCAGATTACTGAAATTTAATTTTTAAAAACCTAAAAATTAAATTTATTTTTATTGAAGTACTCATTTAAATTAAATAAAAGACAAAATCTTTTTTTGTTTAGATAAAAAAACATTATGTAGGAATTAATAAAATCAAGTACATAAAACTATAGTTTTCCAGCTAAAAAATTAAAAATTTGATTGTGGTTTTTTCAAATTTTTCAAGAAAACTTTTTCTTAAAAAAAATAAAAAAATTTGGGGGTTGGGATTAGTTTTTAAAAGATCTATATGTATTTTAGTAAAAAAATTTTGTGGAAAAAAAAATTTATTTAAGTATATTTTTTGAAAAATATGGGTATTTCTGGCTATTGTACCTTAAAAACAAAGAGTTGTATTTTGGTTAAACAACTTTTTAATAAAACATCTATATTTATATATAGGCATAATTATACACAATAATTGGGAAACTAAAGAATAAATGTTAAACTACGCTCCACCTAGCAAATTGTGTGCAAATTGTAGCAAACTGTTTAGTCCCAGTGGGCAGAGCTATGCTGGGGTGTGTTATCAAAATAACCTTTAAGTATAAGTACATGAAAAGTTATATGAAAAGTTATAAGTTTGACTTTAAAAAAAAATCATAATAAATTTTTAAATTATGAGGATTAAAATAAGTGAATTCTTTTTTTAACTTTTTTAATACAAACAACAATATGGTAGTAGTGTAATGTTTAACTAACGAATGACGTGTAGTGGTGTAATGCTAGAGCTTTGTAAAAGATAGATTATGGAGTTAAAAAACTCAGAAAGGATTGTAATCACAATAAAAGAAACAAATAATGTAGCCTTAAATAAAAATAAAAAACAATAAAAAAAAATTTTATCCTTGATTGCAGTAACCCATTTTGCCTTAGGAAGGTGAATAACAATGAAGTTAAAAAATGTCATCAGTTATAGTTTCAAAACAATCACCTCGCATTTATGATTATTATGATATTTTTATGATACAAAAAATTAAAAGAATTATCGAGATGAAGATGGCGTTTAACAAGGTAAAGTCATTTTGGAGATATTTTATTAATCAAAATGACTCAGACACCTATATGTTTACTGGTAAGAGATGTTGTATGTTTTGTAATAAGTATGTTTTATAAGAGATGTTGCATGTTTTGTAATAAGGGAGTTTTGCAAAACTTTGAAACTTTCAGTTTCAAAGTTTCGCAAATGAACTACATTTTCTATATTTTTATTTAAAAAATATAGAAAAAGTTTTTTTTTAATCTTTCTATGTACTAATCACACTACTTTTTTTTTTTATCATTTAACATCAAAATGATATTATCATTAAATACCATTATAAAAATCCGGTCAATTTTAAGTTATGATTTCCCTAAAACTAAAAAAAAAAATGTTGTAGACAAAAACATGCTAGCAGGGTAATTTATGGGACAAAAAGAAATGCTCTTTTACGTGATTACGTTAGGGAGGTTGTGAGCTTGGGGCTTTAAACATTTATAAGCTTCATATTCATCAAGTGATACTATTTATGTTTAAAGCAAAGTGTGGCTTATTCCCAGTAGCATTTTTAACTTGGTTTAGTAAAATTTCTCATCAGTATCCCACCAAATTTTCACAGAATAACTTTGTCGTTCCTGCAACCCATCTTAAAATAAGTTCTACCCAAATCCAATTCTGTGGACCCTTTATTTGGAAATATTTTCTTCTTATTTTGAATAAAAAAACAAAACTTTGTCTTAAAGTGCACTTTGGAGAATTTTAAGGCTGAAGTGAAATCTGAAATCCAAACGGCATTTTTAACATAGACTTCGATTTATTAGATTTTTAAAACGTTTAAAAAATCACAAATGTAAAGGAGCTCAGTGATAAGACAACTTGTCTTTTGTCAAGTTTGGGTTAATTTAATTTCTTTATGGTAAATTTAAAAAACATCAAAATAATAATAATAATAATAATAATTCCAAACCAGTCATAGAGAAAGCTTAAAAATTCAAATCTTCACATGCTTATGATTTTCAAACTCAATGAAGTAAGTCACTAAGGAGATCTTTACTGTTGATCTCTATATCAGAGAATGTCTCTAAAAAAGATAGGAGTCATTTATTTATGTTCTTTCAGCCTGATCTAGTTGCTTCCCAATATTCTATAAGTTTTTACAGTGGCGCAAAGATGTGGAAATTGTTCCTAAAGATGCCAACCCTTCCGATCGTCCTGAAGAGAGCAAGATTAGAGATTATTAGGTAACAGTTTGAAGAATTTTTCTCAAGACAGACATAGTACCAAATCAAAGAAACTAGACAAAAATTTCTAGACAAAATACATTAATGCAACCGTTAAAATGACAAAAACAAAAATGCTTGAAATTATGGCATCAACCAGTCAATAACTCAATAACTCGCAAACCAATCTATCATTCCCATTATAATAAGTTGAAATGCAAATTTTTGCACACACATTTGATTTAAATTTTTCTTTATGGTTTTAGAGAAATTTAACATTGTATAAGTATAATTTAAGAATTCTCTTTTTATTTTACTATACAATTTTTTTTAAATTTACTATATTTTTATACAATTTTACTCTACATTTTTCTGTTAGAGATTATTAAATAAGTTCTCAATATTATCAACCAATCAACATAAAATACCTTGCTAATTACAGATTTTAAGTTTTAGAATCAATCTCACTGCAATAGACATTACAAAATATATTGATTTCATTATTATGGAGGTTAGAAAATTGTGAGGGGGGAGGCGATGTTATGGAGTTACTATACTAATAATGAAATCATTTCATTACGGAGATTAATAATAGATAACATTTGCAATAAAACTTAAAAAAAGGTATATTTTCTATAATCAAATGTTTGAAAACCCATAATAAATAATACATTATAAAACAGTAAAATAACCCAGACTATGAAATTCGACATAATACATCTTTAAAAGTTTTTCAAACAACATAATACATCTTTAAAAGAAATTTGCAATTTGATGTCGGTTTATATAACAAAAATACCAATCATGTTTGATAATTATCACATGTTTTAACAAACTCAACTAAAAGCAAAGTCTAAAATACGCACATTCTCGCAGAAAACCTTTTGGAAAATAAGTTATTTATATTTTAGCTAGATGATCCGAGTGCCATTGAAGTGATATTAAAACTATCTGGAGTGACCTTGCAGTGCTTTAGAAATTGGACCAAACCTTTTTTTCAAAACAAGGCTTCGCATTGACAACATAGCATGACTCACAAAAGATTTTTCAGCGTCAAATTTTCAAGAAGTTTATCGTAGGCCTAAAAATAAATAAAAATCGCATAATGACGAAAAACCATGTTAAATTATTTAAAACAATAAAACTTACCCTTTTAAATTCACTTTGAATAAATTTAAACTTTGAGTATTCGTGAACAGCGCGTGCGGTGTTGGTTCGGTCAAATGGTTCTAAAAATAACCGTGTTTAAAATAAATACACGCAGATATATATATACATGCCATCTAAAAAATAAAGCGTTGATTTGACGTTGATTAACGTTCAATTTGTGTTAATTAAGATGATCACAGTGATCATCTATAAATCATTTCAACGGCAATCAACAACTAATCAACGTAAACTTCTAAACACTGTAAATTTGTTAAATCACTGTTTATATTAAAAAAAAAACTGTTGCGTGTTAGCATGGCGTTTACTTAGGCTGGATATTTTTCTGACTGAATTGTTGATGACAAAATAATATTTATAAATATATGTAAAATAAAAAATATAGTATGTAAAATATGAATAAAAAATATGGTAAAATAAAATGCAAACTTTATAAAAATAAAAAGATTTTTATTAGGAAATTTTATTTATGTTTTTTACATAAACAAAGTATTATTCTAATATGCATCCCGCCTTATAATGACCCTTAAGGGTCCCTTAAGGGATAAGGGTATATTAAGGGCAAATTTTTTTCGACTTTTTTTTATCAATGTACATTTATAATAGTTTATCTTACTTTTTTGATAAAGTTTAGTTTATATTAATCAATTTTAAACATTAGGGTTTGTTTAGGGCAAATCCTATTATGGGATCGGTAAGTGCAAAATCAGGGCTAGCCCTTAATCGACTTATATTTTACGGAATTTTAAAACTCGGAAGAAAAACATTTTGCAGAATGATTTTTGTTAATGCGCTGTTTTTATAAGCGTGGTTATTATCGTATGTTTAATTTAATAATAAAAAAAATAGTTTAATAAAAAAGATGTAATTTGTCAATCATAGCATGGTAATTGTTCATTCTTATACTTCCAGTTAAATTGGTATAAGTATCTATTTGTCTAATATCATTGTAACTGGTGTAAAGATCGTAAATTTATTGCAACAATTTAGACAGTTTGGTTAGCAATTTTTTATCCATAAAATATTTTGACATTTTAGGCTCAGCATACCCCAGCAGCCTCTGCCACCGCTAAAAACAAATTATACCAATGTTATTTAAATGATTTTTTTAAGTAATGCATCAAGTTTCTACACATTTTTAGAGTAAAAAAGAAACAAATATCCAAACATCATCAAGTGCATGCAATGTAATTTTATTAACAGATAATTCTGCTATAATATTTCAAATGATAAGTTTTTGCTTTTTATTGTTTTATTGTTGCTCTTCAATAACTACAAGTTGTCAAATTATGTTTTTTTTCTTTTTCTAAACCTTATAAGTATAAATAAATATATTTAATGTTGCTTTTTTCTAGTTTCATTGCATCAAAATATAACTTATTTTAAGTTTGCTGTTATTGTTATTATATTGTTATTTTAAGTTTGCTGTTATGATAAATTGAAATTTATTATAATTTGTGTTATTGATATATATCTTTTAAAGATTTCTAGTTTGCAATTACCTGCAAATTATTTATCCAGGCATTTATCATGCAAAAGTATCATCTTTATATATATATATATATATATATATATATATATATATATATATATATATATATATATATATATATATATATATATATATATATATATATATATATATATATATATATATATATATATATATATATATGTATATATATATATATATATATATATATATATATATATATATATATATATATATATATATATATATATATATATATATATTATTGTTATTATTGTAAAATGTTGCAATTTTAGTTGTCAGGTATTTTTCTGATTCAAGTTTATTATGCTTGGTGTTTGCAATCATCGAAATGGTGAACCATTTAGTGCACAAGGTAGTAGTGCACAAGGTATTTTTTACAATGTTTTTTCATGGAAAATAGGAGTATTATTTGTTGTAAGTAACAATGGTAACAGGTCATTTTCTTTTATAAGAGGCACTTTCCTTCATAACCTATCACTTTCTTATGAGTGCATACATTTTGCGTGAACTAAATTATATTCAATCTAAGTTGACAATCTGTGAACCAAGACAGGGAAAGTCGGAAGAAGGTTTATGTAATGATCCTGCTGATCAGAATATCAGCCAAATCCAGTTCCCAATTTTCAATTTTTTACTGCAATATTCTGAAGTTGAAAAGCACCCAAAGAATATGGTATGTTTTTGTTAATTTAATATGCAAATAGCCATAAACTGTTGATTTTGGAATGGAATAATATTTATATAAAACATTTCAAATCTTTTTTAACTGTCATGGATGATGCTTGAAGGAAGGTTGACTGCCCATGACCATATTTCAAGAGTGCTTAATAAGTTGCGACAGATGACATCCAAAAAAAGATCAACAAGCCCGGAACATATGGCAAAAGTTTTTTGATCACCTGGAAAATCTGCTTAAAAGTGAGTGAAATTTAGAGCTACTTAGAATAATTTAGATATAAAAATATATTAAATTATTAAATTTAATATATTAGAAATAAGATATTAAATTTTAAATAGCAGTCTTGTGAATAACTTATATTTATATTATATTGTAAGTCAAATATTATATTATAATATTTGACAATTACTGTTTTAAACAATAAAATGAAATTAGAATAGAAATTATGATAATAATTACTGTTTATTTATTTATAATAATTATAATAATGATTATTTTAATATGATATATTTATAGCTTCAACTGTTCACTTTTTACCCAGCATCGCGAAAATAGAAGTTGTGTTAAAAGTTGCATGATTTTTAAATAACGCCAGAAATTGCTCTGGTGGATGTTGCAGTGATGTAAAAAAACAGCAGTTTTGATTGACGCAAAAGATACAGACAGTTACAAAAGGAGTAAAGAAAACAACGAAGAAAATAACATTCCTCGATAAAAGAAGTGAAAGACATCTTTAAATAACATCTTAAAAAAATCTTTTATTTTGAATGGCATTGCTATGTAAATAGTATGTAATATATAACAGTTTATGTAATATGAATCGTAATAATAAATATATTTAAACAATATTTGTTACATTTTATAAAAAAAAACCACTCTTTACTACCCATTTTTTGAGTGGTAATGCGTGGTTTTTTTTTGGTCACTAAAGGGCTAGCCCTTAAAAGACCCTTAAAATCCACGCAGACATTTTCGTAAGGGTCCCTTAAGGGCATGCCCATAAGGGACGCTTAAGTTTTTTTAAAGTGGGATCAAGACAAGTGTCTGCTGAATTGTGACAGCAAATTTTAAACAGAATTTTTAATTCAGTTTTTGCTGCATATAATTCATTTTTTTTTTAATTTTTTCATTCATGATAAAAATAAAAATAATAATGGAAAATGTGACAGAAGCATATACAGGAGAGAATTTGATGAAGAAAAAAGAGATACTAAAAAAAAGAATAAAGTATTTTCTTGTCAAAAGAGGGAAGTGTAAACCTCTATGTTTCTGAAAAAGCTTACAGTGATATATTGATGTCCTCAATCACTTCACCTAATATCAGTGATATTTTTGTTCGGAAAATAATTTTAGTTTTAGTTTTTATTCAGTTTAGAGGCAAAGTTTTTAGTTCTAGTTCTTATTCAGTTCAGTAAATAAATTTAGTTCTAGTTTTTATTCAGTTCATCTTAAAATAATTTTAGTTTTAGTTTTTATTTAGTTCAATTTTCGTTTGTCGTATAAATTTTTTATCTCATCTAATTATAATTTAGTATAATTTATAAATAATATAGGCATATATAATTAAAAGAAGTAAGTCTTAGTTCTATAAACAAACAAAAAAATGAGAACTTAATTAAATGTAATACACCCAGTCCCATGGCTAGAAGTTTAGAGCCCCGCCCACCGCCCTTAATAAAAAACACAACAACAACCTGTCCTTATTGCTCTAAAACTTAAAAAAATTTCAATTATTAGGTATAAAAAAAACTCCTCAAATTTGGTAACAATAAAAACTAATGACTAGTTATTGTATAGACTTTAATAATTACTCATATATTTTAAAAATAAAGGGCCTAGTGATTATATGATTATCATCTAGACTAGATGATAATTTAGTTTTAAGAAAACTCGCATTTCCAATGACGCTGACATTCGATTTCTCCGTCCATTTGTGAGCAAGCCACAGATTGAAAAAAGTCTTTCAACATATGCTTGAGTTGCAGGAGCTGCAATGAGGTCTTCAACTAATGGTGCAATATGTGGGTAAACAGCACGTCTCATCTTCCAGAAATTTAAAGCATTTTGGCACATAGAGCTGTTCCTTATTTCAATAAAATATTTGTTGAGTTCATTTTGTGCTTCCTTACCTGGAATAAGCTTTATTTTTTCTACTCGCTGTTTTGCCGCTAAAAATTTCCATTTTGTTAATCTATTTATTTCTGGAGCAATCTCAACAAAAAGAGTAGATGCACTTGCTAAAGGTAAATCATGTTGCACCGATTTTTAGCCTCTGACAAAATGTATTTCTTTGCACACTCTTTGATTTGTGTATGCTCATTACCTAAAAGAGCTATTGCACATGTGGGGTCAAGTAGACATGCGGCACATGGCAGTGGATTAAAATTAGGATCGTTTGGCTGCAAACGAACGGCAAAGATCTTCAAGCATTTTAACTGCTACATCTTTGGCATCTCCAAATTGCTCAAGGTGACATTCTAAATTAAGTATTGAAGGTATAACACTGGATAGTGAAAGTGCATCCGTCTGAAGAATATCAGTTTCATTGGCAAAAGGTTCTAAAAGATTGACAAAATCCTGAAGCATTATCCATTCGCTATTGGCAAGTGAATCAATGTTAAGGTCTCCAAGCACTTCGTTGATAGATGTCTTTATTTCCAGAAATCTCCGAACCATAAAGTAAGTGCTGTTCCATCTTGTAGAACAGTCGCTGATCACAGTCTTACCACATTTGTTGATAATTTTTTCCAATGCAACAGAAGATTTGCAAACTTTTCCCACTAATCCACGTACCTTCAAAAGTAAGCCATGATATTTACCATCATATGCAAGTTTTACAACTAGCTGTATAACATGTGCAATGCATC